CACCTTTTTAACATGTGTTTTTTACCTCTTAATCCAATCCCTCCTGCATTTTGGCTAAATGTCATTTAGCTACTCTCCCCCCTCCCCCTTTTAGCCCAGTTCCTTCTGGGTTTTATAACATGTGTAGAAGAGCCTGCAGTTCAATGCTCAAACTACTACACCAGGTTGGCTCATAAAGTCCCTACCTCTCTTTTAAAGGGAAAGTAGATCCTCTTTATTTTTTTATGACTGAACTGGAGAGGAAGATAAAGAAGGCTTGTCTATTGAACAGTCAATCAATAGTGTAACCATTGGGGAGGAAATGAAATTAGTCCCTCTCCAAATAATAATTCTACTGCTCTAATGAAATTTTCTTTCAGTCCCCAAATTTCTAGCACATTATAGATATACAGATATTGACCATTGTTATTACCTAGAACTTGTAATATAATCTGTATTTGCATTCCCTTGGTAACTTTGTTTGCCCCTTGTTTTTGGATGCTTAAATGTTAAATGGAAGTTTTATGAGATCTTTGGGCATAAAGTAGGATATAAATATTTCAATAAAATACAAACAGATAGATCATACTTTAATGCTACAAATTTGGGAACTGGAGAAAAATTCCACAGGGGAAGGGGGAGAGGATTCTTATTGGGTGGGAAATACCTTCATCCACACACACTAACACCTGTAGCTATATCCCTGCAGTAAATAATAAATTAGCAAGATATGCATAAAGTTTGAAAGGTTAGCCTCTTCCATTGTGAAGTTTCAACCAAAGTGGTTGTCTGGACAGCAAAACAAAATGATTCCCTTACTGACAGACTTTAAAAGACCAGTCCCTAAGCTGCCCGAGTTTTGGGACTACAGGACGGTAGCCAAGGCAGCTATGGCTGGTTCTGGTTAGGAACTGGCCCAGCTATCTTTATAACTCCTAACTTTGGTACAAACCACTGTCTTTGTTTTTGTAGACAGACTTTGTCTCTCCCAACCATCATTTTTTGGCAATAACCAGAGCAAATGTTTCACACATCTGGTGATTTCTCATATGCCTTTTGTCTCCTAATATGAGGTTGGAAGAAGAATACCCATCACAGTTGTAACAGAGATTTATGTGTTGATCTCCCAACACAGGAAATTAGCTTTTGATTAGTAATTAAGGCCACAGAAAAACTTAGTAAATAATAAAACTATGCCTCAGTTGACCCAGGCTCCCATCTGTACAGATAGTGCTTGTTGCTGGGTTCAGAAAATTGTGACCTAGACAATAGACTGGCATTAGGAAGACATACTAAGAGCCATTACTGAAATAAAGAAAATGAGACGTTGAGAGTGTGAGCATGCTGAGATTCATTCAACGTTAATGGTTAACTAATTGAAAACTTTTAGTGCTCATTTCGTGGGCTCCTTGCATACTTAATTTTTAAAATTTGATTTACAGTATTGTAATCCAGCTCCTGGGTGGCGTAGCAGGTTAAACCGCTGAGCTGCTGAACTTGCTGGTCAGTGGTTCAAATCCAGGGAGCGGGGTGAGCTTCGGCTGTTAGCTTCAGCTTCTGCCAACCTAGCAGTTAGAAAACATGCAGATGTGAGTAGATCAATAGATACCACTTCGGCGGGAAGGTAATGGGCTCCATGCAGACATGCTGGCCACTTTACCTAGGAGTCATCTACGGACAACACCTGCTCTTTGGCTTAGAAGTGGAGATAAGCACCACCCCCCAGAGTCAGACTCGACTAGACTTAATGTCAAGGGGAAAGCTTTACCTTTTACTAATCCAGCTTCTCAGTTAAGAGCAATTTATATACAAAAAGAAAATATGCAAGTTTGCAAAGCAACCAACTCATCACTTACAGCATCCTATAATGATTTCTGGTAGTGACAGCAGAACAAATTGGGAAGAGTGTTTTTTTGGGGAGACTACAACTCCCAGAACCCTCTAGTCATTATGGTGAAGTTTGCTCCTCTTTCATGACAGAATTTACTTATTCATTTTTTGTCTTTGAACTGAGAATTCAAAATGGCCTATAAAAAGTGTGGTTGTTATGTATCTTCAAGTCAGTTTTGATTTATGATATCTTTCATGCAGAGACTTCTAGGAAAGATTTATTTTGAGGAGGTTTGCTATTTCCTTTCTCTGAGACTGAGAAAGTCTGACATGCTGAAGGTCACCCAGCAGGATGAGCACATATTTTAACCCTGGTCTCCCAGAGTCCTAGGGCCCATGAAACCAGAGGAAAACTAGAAGTTGTGAAGGCAGCTATGAAGGAATTATGAAGGAAGCCAAAATGATTAAATAGATACTGTCGTATTTTGGCCACATGATTCACTAGAAAATACAATAATGGTTGGAAAGGATTTTTTTTCCTGTGTCAAAAGCATTGCATCAAAAGCAATGCTTTTGGGTTGGAAAGATCATCTGTTTACAAGAAACGTAATGTTGCCCAGGGATGCCTGGCTGTATTTACTCAGTCCTTGAGGAGGCTCTTTCCATTTCCCCCATTGGAAAGGATGAATGCAGTAGAAAAAGAGGAAGATTGCATTCCTGATGGATAGGCTACATAAAGAAAGCTACATCCCTGAGTTTGCAAGACCTAAGCAAGATTGTTGAGGATAGGGTAAGTTGAAGGTCTCTTGTTCATAGAAGTTGCTATATGTCAACATCAACTTGAAGGCAGTTAACAACAACTCAAGTGCCTCACCAGCCTAAAAAGCCCCAGATATTCCATAGGATATAGCTATGCCTGTTAGGGTGGATTCATGCTGCCGTAATTATGTTGTATATTTATTATTTATTTATTTGAAAAAATTATATTCCGCCCTTCACACCCCACAGGAGACTCAGGTCGGAGCACAATATATATATGACAAACGTTCAATGACAGGACATAAAACTATAAATATACACAAACTTTAAAATCACTTATATCCACATTAAAATCAGTTGCCTAAAACCATCTCAAGACACCATTCTATTAGTGCCTTATTGCACTGCTCCAACGGCTTAGTCCCACAGCCAGGTCTTCACCATCCTTGTATAGAAGGAGTCCAACCCCAGCAGTTAAACCATAATAAAATATTATCAATACAGAAATGAATGAAAATATTAAGGTTTTCTGCATGTCCACAAAAAGACAATTTGCTTTGTAGTATGTCCACAAAAAGACAATTTGCCTTTTTGGTAATGGGAATTTGGGCAGCCTGTGCAACAAGCCCAGTGAAAATGTATGCAGCACAAACACTCACCTGTGTGTGTCTTCCCTACACATTTGCCTCTTCCTTGGATGCCAGCCTCAGCCATGAATGATTTGTAGCATGGCAAGGTGACTTCTTTCTGCCTGCTCTGTGAATTTTTGCTAAGGTTTATAGTCATTGTCTGGATTATCTTGGCTTTACTAGGATAAGTGAGTGGTTCTGACAGATTGCACATGCCAAAACACCATAAAACAATGACTGTATTGTGAATGTAGAATATCTTTAGAGGGTGCACTTCCTGAGCAGAACAGAAATACTTCATAAGAAATGTGAAACTTGACATTGTATTTCTGTACTTTTGTATTGCTTCATGTCAAAGAATAATATTCACAGCATATTAATATTTTCTAGTTTGCAAATTTAATTGGTTTGGCAGCAGATAGATCAATCTTTACTTGATGACTTGATGGACAATTTTTATTGAGGGGTTACATTTTAACAAAGGAATAGCAAGGAATATATGTTAATTTTGGAGGCTAATTTGGTTCTGGCATGTAGGCAAGCTCTGAGAGTCCAGAAGACAATTTTCAGCCCATGAAACACTTTGAGATTGCACTAGCCTCTGAAACAAAATGGAAAGTGATTGGAAGAGAACTTTCAGATTTGCAAAACCCTTCCCTATGCGCATCCAGACAGCCTCTTTATTGTGGTAACTCCCTCAATAAAGATGGTGCTGTCCAGATGAAGTCCTGGACAATCTCGAATTACAAACCCTGGTTTGTAGCAAATTAATTAGATAGTGGATTTATTCTGCGCCTTCTATTTCCGGTGTCTGGAAAACTCTGGGAATACCTCCCCCCCTCCCCCAAAGCACCAAAACCCTTTTGAAAAGTAAAGAAAACTTACCCGGGCTCCAATGTGGAGAGCCTCCCAGGAACATCCACATTTTTAAAACGTGAATGATCCTGGGATAAAGGGTTGTAGGGAACCACCCCTAGGTGGGTTTCAAGACAAAAGAAGAGGGATCACTGTGTCTTATTTTTAAGGAGAATCAATGCTCCAAGAGGTTTTCAAATAACATTTTCTGCCACATTTTGACACTTTTCAGTGAGTGGAAGAGTCCAGAAGAGCTACAGGGACCACAAAAATTGCCCTTGGAGGTCACATGATGACCACACCAATGTAATAAATAATTACAAGGAAAATGTAAAAGATGGCCTTTCTCCAGCAGCCCAATAGGTGTGAAGGAAGAGGGAAAATAAAGAAGACAATGTGAGAGATGCAAGTTTAGTGCCAGTTCATGCCCTCCTCACCTTCAGGATATGGCTCCTGACAATTTATCTACAAAGGGAGCCAGCCTGAAAAAATAAAGACCAATGGGTGCTATTAATGCAGAGCTTGGAAAAGTGACTTTTTACGCTGTAACTCCCACAACCCTCCAACTAGCATAGATAGTAGCCACAGTGGCTGATAGATTCTAGAAAGTATATTAGCCACTTTGCATTTCAATCAAGAGATAAAATCAAGATGATAATGATGATTGCTCAATGGATTAATTTTCTGAAGTTCTAGCTTTTCTAAGATAATCAAATTGGGGGGGGGGGGCAGGAATGCAGAATTGGTTCTGTATTTAACACTGTGTCCATTGTGTTCTCAAAGATGTTGTCTATAAAATAGCCACATCACTCTTTCCCATCATTAATATGGTCTTGTTTATTCTCTAATATTTAATGTATTAAAATTAAGCATTTGAATGTGGCTGTGTTACATAATCCATTATTAAAAATACTAACGCTTCTTTACATATTTAACAATTCATGCCAGATTTCCCTATGGATTCTAATAATGGCAACTGTAGAGGCACCAGCGCTGGTGAGTACATGTTTATCTGCTAAACTCCTTCTCCTTTTCCTCCTTCGCCTCTTCCTCCTCCTCCTCTTCCATCCTCTCTTTTTTCTCCTCTTCTTCTGATGAGACCAGATCTTAATAAGGCAAAAAGTATTTTGATGCTGGTATGATGCTTTTTGTGCACGAGAAGAGTATTGTGTAAGGAACAAGAGATGTATAGAAATATAAGCAAGCAGCACTGTGAGTAAGGCAGGCCCTACAATTAGTTTATGGGCGCTGACTGATCCTGAGTGTCACAGCATAGTCGAATTCCGCTGATTAAGTAATTTACTATTACGATGTTTCTGCTACGAGGGAGTATTTGTGTATTATTTTTAACCTCAGGTTCAAAATAATATATTGGTCTGAGGTACTATGGACTTTAGTTCTTGTGTGGGGGAATGATTCATGTGACGATAGATGTTTCTGCTCCACTTTTCATGGAAAATTGTCTTGAGCTGGAGAACAGCTAAACGTTCAGCATGTTAAAGGGAAACGGCACATTCGCTTCATCCAGGCCTTGGCAAATCTGCTTTTGGACTGCAGCTCCCACCATCCCTTACCTAGCAAACTCAATGCTGGTTGAAGAGTGGTAGAAGTTGTCTTTAAAAGGAGAACTTTAAAAGCTCAATAAACACCTCATTTAAAAAAAGGAGAGGGGGTCATTTCTGGGTAGGATTTTACCCCCAAACTATGATATCCAAAACTGATGACCACATCTGCAAATATGGGAATTAAGCTCCCATGGTTTTATTTTTTATGAAGATGGCACACATCATAGAGGTATCTCTCTTCCCTCCCCACTAAAAGAAAGAGCTTCAAGGTTTTCAAATGACAGGTTTAGGATTTGGGTGTTAATGTTTCAAAACCAAGTTAAAAGTTTTTAAATAGTGAAATATCTTGGCATTTGAGGAAATGGCCAATACAGTCCCATCTTTCTTCCCACACCATCACCTCTGCCTTTACCATCCTTTTAAGGACTTCATCCCACGTGATAAGTAAAGCTTTGGGGATCATTGTTTTCCCGTTAAACTTCACAATGCTTCATTTGGAAATTAAACTAATGATTTTCCTACCCCTATCACATGTTTTCCCTCGTTCTGCTTTCATTTCAAATTATCCAGTTACCTTCCCATCATATATCTTTGTGAGCGCATCTCTCCCTATGAACCAGCATAAAATCTTAAGATCTACCAGGGAGGCCCTTCTCTTGCTCCCGCCACCGTCTCAAGCATGGTTGGCGGGGATGAGGAAGAGGGCTTTCTTGGTGGTGGCCCCTCACCTCTGGAACACCCTCCCTTGGGAACTAAGAGAGGGCCCATCACTCTCCTCTTTTCGGAAGGACTTGAAGAACTGGTGGTTCCATCAGGCCTTTGATAGGGACTAGTCCCAGGCCCGATGCCCCTGGCCTTCAGTAAAGGCCCAACTAACACCTCGTTCATTCCCTCGTTCCTCCACGTTGTAACACTGGTTTCCACCCTAAACCTACCTCTTCAAAATTGTCAGAAGGCCCTGGAAATAAGTAGTCCCAGGCCCTACCCTGGCCAGAAATCAGGTCCATTCCTGGCACTTTACTCATTCGCCTGGTCTTCATTACTTCTGTCAGAACCCTGATCAGTCCTTTCAACCTGTCCCAGCCCACATATAATTGGGTCATTTGCCCAATGGTCTATGAAATTGGTTTGCTTTAATGCATAGGATTTTGTTAACAGATTATGTTTATATTTTAATGGCTACTCTGTATGTTGCATGTTGTCTGTGGAAACCGTCCTCTAGGATAGATAGAGCAGTACATAAATAAATTATTATTATTATTATTATTATTATGAGACATGTTTTTTCCTCCCCAGTTTTCTTTTGCTAGAAAAAAAATCCTCATTTTTGTCACAGAAGTACTTTTTAATATGAGACCACAAAAAAAAAAGATATAAATTACCATCCCTTCCTCCTGGGTCCCAAGAAGATAATGGCGGAAGAAAGGAATCTATACTGGCCATCTAGGCTCCTTCCTCCGGAATGATATCGACATTATGTTTACAAACAGACAATGGGGAATTCCCATCACACATGAAATTTGATGTTTTTCCCGTCTCTGTGAGCGGGATTTAAAATTCAGTTGATTGCCAATCGACCTAGGAATTATTGGGAAAAACCACACTTCAGAAACAGCAAAATAGTTTAAACTCATGGTATGAACTTGCATCATGTGATGGGCTGTGTCTGTAGCTTTCTTAAATGTGTAGAAACACTAATTTATTGCGTGTGATGAAGTTCCATGTGTCATACTCCACACAGCAGCAACAGTTATAGGGTTTTCTTAGGTAATTAATTGTCAGAGGTAGATTTGCCAGCTCCTTCCTCTGAAATAATAGCCTGCAGAACCTGGTATTCTGTGGCAGTTTCCAATCCTAGCACTAAACAAAGCTGACTCTTAGCTTCCAAGATCAGGTGGCATCTATTGCATTTCAAGCATTCTGCTGCTTTTATCACTAAAAGGTTAAATGTCCTCTTAATCCCCTTCTCCAAAGGATTAGATTTCAGAAAATAAACTAAACTAAAATCAAAACAACAGGGGCAGAGTGCAACTTCTTCAGTCAAAACATTATCTACAGTGCTTAAATAAGAGGTGTGTTGGTTTCATTCAGGCTTACAGAAGCTAGCTAAATAAACTGTCCTATCTGGCGCCTTTCATTCTATATCCTGAAATAAAGGGAGCTGAGCAGCCTAATAATTGCTTTCAAAATAAGATGAGTTTTTAATGTTCAGATTGCCTCTTCAAGAGGAAGCTTCAAGGGGATTTTAAAATATTTTAGAAACTTTAATACCTATCCGCCCCTAATCAATGCTGTTCAACATTATGCTATGACAACAACAACAACCGTTTATTTATATTCCGCCCTATCTCCCTGAAGGAACTCAGAGCAGATTACAAAATATATAAACACAAACACAGACAAACATTCAATGCCTTGATACAATTAACAGAAATTCACAGAGATTCCCAGACAAACACAAAAGCAAAGGCTTCCCCTTTCATCTCCAGCTCTTGGAGGTAGTGCTCAACTTCTGGCTCTGGGGGAGAAGTTCATCTCCATTTCCAAGCAGAGGAGCCTGCATTGTCCATAGATACCTCCTGTCGTGTGGCCGGCATGACTGCTTGGAGTGCCTGTTTGCCTTCCCACCGAGGTGGGATCAATACCTACTCACATTTGCATGTTTTCGAACTGCTAGGTTGGCAGAAGCTTGCCTACAAGCGGGAGCTCACTCCATTCCACGGATTCAAACTGCCAACCTTTAGGTCAGCAAGTTCAGCAGCTCAATGGTTTTTGACAATCACCTGTATATGACTGATTGTATGAGAAGCACTTTCCATATTTTAAAGCAGAAATGTCCTCCAAATGCTATGTACAATTCCCATCATCTCTCACAATTAGTTGTTGAGAGTTGGTCCAACATTTGGGAGTCCACTTGTTTTCAATGTCTGGTCCAAAATGTGTTTCATAAACTTTTGATGTTGTTGTTGTCTTTAAAACACTTTGTATAACTGTTCAGAAAACGGTTATTGCGATGCTGTCTTAAAGAACTGAGTGATGGATAATGTCTGTTTGCAATACCTTTTCGAGTCAAGTTTTATCCCTGGCTAGGACATTTGGCAAAAACTGATGTATAAATATTACTCTTCTCTCGCTGGCTGGAAATGAAACTTTTGTCCATTTTATGCTTTGTTTAGCTTTCAAACTTGCTTGGAAGATCTTCCAACAACAACTTGGAACTTAAACAGCATATTATTTAGGGATGCCTCCTAGGAGGTTCCTAAGCCAGATAGTCAAATATCTAGATCTATATTTGTTGTACTTTTTTAAAAAGCAAGGGCAGATCATTTGGTGCTACTAGCACTGGAAATGTCTGAGAAGACACTCTTAGAAGAAATTGTTTATGACATAAAAATATGAATTGGGTTTGTAAAGAAACAACTTGAGAAACTGCAAGTCACTTCTGGTGTGAGAGAAATGGCCATCTGCAAAGACATTGCCTAGGAGACACCCGGATGTTTTGATGTTTCACCATCCTTGTGGGAGGCTTCTCTCATGTCCCTGCATGGGGAGCTGGAGCTGACAGAAGGAGCTCATCTGCCCTCTCCCCGGATTTGAACCTCTGACCTGTCAGTCTTCAGTTCTCCCGGCACAAAGGGTTTAACCCATTGCAGTTATAACATATAATTGTCTGAGATTTTCTTTTGGCACATAGCTATGCAGCATTTAGTCCTCCAAATGTTGCTGGACTGCAACTCCCATTGAGCCTGTAGTATGAAGCCATTGTTCTGCATCCTAGTCTCTAGGGCAGCAGAAAACAAGCCTGCTCCCTCCTCCCTTTGACTTCCTCTCACATATTTATACATGGTCCTCATCATATCTTCTCTCAGCCTTCTCTTCTGCAGGCTAAACATGCCCAACTCTTTAAGCCGCTCCACATAGGGCTTGTTCTCCAGACCCACAATCATCTCTTCTGGACATATTCCAGCTTGTCAACATCTCCCTTCAATTGCAGTGCCCAGAATTGGACACAGTATTCCAGGTGTGGTCTGACCAAGGCAGAATAGAGGGGTAACATGACTCCCTGGATTTAGACACTATACTCCTATTTATGCTGGCCAAAATCTCATTGGCTTTTTAAGCTGCCGCATGACATTGTTGGCTCATGTTTACCTTGTTGTCCATCTTTTCCTCACATACTGCTGTTGAGCCAGGCGTCCCCCATTCTGTATCTTTGCATTTCATTTTTTTCTGCCTAAGTGGAGTATCTTGTATTTGTCACTGTTGAACTTCATTTTGTTAGTTTTGGCCCAGATCTCTAATCTGTTCAGATCATTTTGAATTCTGCTCCTCTCCTCTGGAGTATTGGCTATCCCTCCCAATTTGGTGTCATCTGCAAACTTGATGATCATGCCTTCTAACCCTTTATAAAGATGTTGAACAGGGCCGGGCCTAGGACGGCATATGTGTAATTCCACCATTGGATAATATTTTTGATTATCTGTTTTTCCCTAACTTGAATGTTGGTCTCTTGGAAATGTGTCTCTGTTGGAAAGAATGAATGTGTAAATTATCTGCACATAGAGATCTATCTTTCAGTGATCAAGTGGCTTTATTTACTTTGGCTGCCAAAAAAGGTTAAAAAAAGATTTTAAGACAGCTATTTAAAATTGCATACATTAAGAGCTCATCTCTATATTTAACCTTTATTGTTTTCATTAAAATGTTATCTTTTTGATAACATTTGTAAGAACCACATTTCTGTTATGTGTATTAAACTAAATTCCTCTTCTTTTGCTTTTCTTTATGATTTAATCACTCCTTTCCCAAACATCTACTGTATGGATCCCAAACCCTTTTTCTGCTCCGTTGCTTCCAAATGGTCCCAAACACTGCCAACAGTGAGGAAGGCAGGCAGGTGGAAAATTATGTAATTGGGTAGGTGAAAAAAGAGGGGCAACCAGTCCTTTGCCTAGGTGAAACAGACAAATGTGGCAACAGGAAGAAGAGCAAGCCACCGTCACCTCAGCTGCCTCACCAATCTCTGTGTCCTTTTCTTCTTCTTGCATGCTGCATGTATCCTGATGTACAAACATAATCATGACTTTACACCCCTTTGTTGTTTCTTTGCTCTAATGCCAGAAATTCCTCTTTCCTAGAGCGCTGTAAATGCAAGCCTATAAAAGCTACCCAGAAGACTTATCTCCGGAATAATTACAACTATGGTAAGCCTGACTTCATAGTAGCTATAAGCCTTTAAAGCAGTGGTTCCCAACCTTTGGTCCTGCAGGTTTTTTGGGCTTCAGCTCCAAACATTCCTAACAGCTGGTTAGATTGCTGGGATTCCTGGGAGTTGAAGTCCAAAACACTGGAGGACAAAAGGTTGGGAACCACTGCTTTAAAGGAAAGAAGATGCATGAATGGAGCTGAAAGGGGGGCGTGATATGTGCCAGAAATAGATTCTTGTTCTTGACCATCAGTATCTTCAAAGACAAGTAAATTCAAACATCTGCTGTGGAAGAGTGGGGATAAATAATAATAATATTTACCTCTCCCTCAAATGGGAATTGTAAGATCAGGTGATAGTTTACCTAGTAAACATTAGCTTTTCTGGCTGTAGGATTAGATGTAAAATGTTTCATTATGAAAATTTGGGAAACACAGATTTCATCTCTCCACTCCCTCCTGCTTCCCAAATGTAGTTGCTAACAATAGAAAGTTTTTAAATAGTAGCACAGCTCCTCCCTGTACTGCACATAGGTGATTATTTTGTGTGGCAGCAAAAGTGAAGGAAAACAAAAGCATGAGTTTTTTTTATACTACCCATCACTCCCTCTATTTGTGATTTCAGAATAATAATAATAATAATAATAATAATAATAATAATAATAATAGATAGTGAGAGCAATAGTAGTAGTGATAATAATGATGATACTGGAACTCAAAATGAACAAGTCATTTTCATAAAACTCTTGAGAGGCAAAAGGATCTTGAATTTAAAAAAAAACATCCAGGATGCTTGATTGTAATGGTTGTTTTTTTCTTCAGTCATTCGGGCGAAAGTGAAGGAGGTGAAGACCAAATGTCATGATGTCACGGCAGTCGTTGAAGTAAAGGAGATTCTAAAATCTTCCTTGGTGAACATTCCCAGGGACACTGTTAACCTGTACACAAACTCGGGTTGCTTGTGCCCACCTCTCAATGCGAATGAAGAATATATCATCATGGGTTATGAAGATGAAGAGCGCTCCAGGTAACCCCTTCCCTTTATTCTTTTCTCCTATTAGTTCTGATTAGAAACTATGAATAGAAGAGAAACTCCACAGAGTTTATTGTGGACCAGATATTTTGATTTACAAGTCTTTTTACTGTGCAAAGCAAAAGTCTGAATAACAAAAGTGGTAGAAAATGAACATAAGAGGATGAGAACCTCTTAAATGCTTTATAACTTAAAGTGAATGTAAGTATCTTTCCAAAACCAAACAGTGGCTATTGCTTTTTCTGAGGCAGGAGTAGGAACTCTACAGCATGCAAGCTCCATTTCTGGCTCTTTCTACAAGCACCTGCCAGCTTATCCCACCTTATGATTTCTGTTCTCACTTTTTGAAATTAAAATCAATCTTTGCACAAACCATCATTTTTGGGTAAATGAGCCTTTGCAGATACAGACAGGCTACAACCTATGTATTGCCAATCCCTGGAAGACAAGCAGGCAGACAATCAGACAGATGGACAGACAGACATGCCTGCATGCTATAATACATGCTGTTTTTTCCTCTCGTGTATAGATTACTCTTGGTCGAAGGCTCCATAGCTGAGAAATGGAAGGATCGTCTTGGTAAAAAAGTGAAGGTAAAACAAAGTTTCACTAGTTTGTTCAACCATGTTTGATCTTGGCTACAAGCTATTTCATTTGTCCTGTCACTAAATCTATCCCACCAATACATGTGTTTTTTATTAAACTCAGAAGAAGGCCATACTGAGTGCCATAGGGCTTAATCCCATAAAAAGAATAAACTCAGATATCATTCAAGAGCACACTGAAATGATTCAGCATGGTTCCAGACAGAACTTTAATTAATACTTTTCTGGGGGAGTGTCCAGATTTTCCTCCCCCCACTCTTCTTGCGCATCATTTCTATGCGCCAGGAGAGGGCCAGCAGTATGGAAATGCTGGCTGGGTAAGTAGTTCTTGCTTTTTAAGGCTTTTCTGGGGGGTGGGGTTGGTGAGGGTTGTCTGGATTGCCCCCTCAGAAGTCCAGGGCTTGTGAGGGGCACCCTGACACCGGCCATACTTGTTTAGTCTTCCAGGAATATTTGGGTCTAATCCAGTATCAAATTAATTTGCCACAAAGCAGAGTTTTCCTGCTTTGTGGGGAAATAAATACATTTTATGTGAGGCGTTGTTTGGATGCAGCACGTAAAAATCCAGGACGGTGTGCGTTTTCCACCCTGTGTTGATGCACCCTTATTGAGAAAATGTGGTTTAAATGGTCAGTGTAGATGGAGCCTTAGGCATGTTGAACTGTGGATGGCAGACTAAATGTGCTCCGTCAGCTCTTTAGCTGAAAGTGCTTCTCACTTGCTGCTACTCTGATACAGGCTGGATCAACATTGCCCTATATCCCAGGAACTGATCCCAGATTATTTGCTTTGAATTGGTTTATATGAGTTTACACTGCCAGTTAACCTGAAATAACCAGATAATCTGAGATTGGATCCTGGGATATAGGGCACTGTAGATCCAGCTACAGTGTGGCAATTCGACACCAATAAAAAGTGAACATTAGTACACTTTAAAAGAAGGCGTTCTCTTTGTTTTCAAACAAGGATGTGGGACAACAGGTCCATGGGCCACATTTCTGCTTTGGCAATCTACAGAGATTGTATGAACTGCTAACAATGCCCCAAAATCCTGTGTCCAGCAATGGATAAAAGTCCACTTTAGGGTTTTGTAAACACACACACACACACATCTGGGTTTTTCAGGATGCTTACCTGAACAGAATTAATAAGAAGAATAACAACAACAATAACAATGTGTCTATATGCGTCTTCAAGTTGCCTGTTGATGTATGATGACCCCATGAATTTTGGGTTTGTCTTAGGCAAGGAACCCTCAGAAATGCTTTGGCCAGATCTTTCCTTGGGAATATGGCCTGTAGGTAGCTGATATTTGTTGGTAATCTCCTATCCAAGTGTTAACCGTAGCTGACCCACATTAGCTTCCAAGATGAAATAAAATCTTGTTCCTTTAGCATATTTAGGCCACAACAAAATATTATTTTTATTTCTATACACATATAGAGTGATTGAGAGAGAGACGGAAGGGGTACGGGAGAGAGTTTGTTACAAATGTAGTTGAAGACTGGGAAAGCTGCAACTTACTTAAAAGGTCATTTGCTGCTTCAAAATTTCCAGAGAGGCAATAGACATCCCCCTTCCTTTTCTGTATGGAAAAAATGCTTGTCCAGAATGTCTGGAGGGGACCAGGGTCACAAAAAATAACCTTGAGAGTCGTACCTTGTCCCTTATTGTTTTAAACTGGGTTTTTCCATTGCTATCACAATTCCAAAATATGGTGTTGTGGGGGTTTGTACCTTCTGGTGAGTTTGTGGGTACCATTTCATCCCTTCTGTTCCCTGGAAGTTGCCTGCTGCACCTTAGGAAGAAAGGCACTGGTGTCTTAAATGTATTGGGGGGGGGGGGGRATTCACTATGATAGGAAATGTCTGAAACATTATTTTTGTTGAGTTGTTTTTGCCCAAGAGAAGGTAGCAGGCAGTTCATTTATTTGTTCCAGTTAATAGTCTATAGAGAGATAATCAATTTTTGTGCACTCTCTGTTTAAAACTATTGGTCACGTCCTTTCAAGCCAAACACTTACTGGCTTGATGCATATCCTCCATAATCTCACTCTAAACATAAGACTCTAAAGCGAGTTTTCCAAAATTTGCTGTTCAAACTACGAATATATAAATGATCTAGCATTTCTCCTTTAGTAGAGTCCAAGAGGTTAAAACAAAACTTTGTGAAATGTGGACTAATGGGATGAGGTAAGGTGGAAGCCCAGCCAAGTAGCGTTGGGTGAGAAAACAACAAAGGTTCTAGGGCTGTTACAAAGAAGAAGATGTGGCTGAGATCCTATGTTACAAAGTGTAGCATAAAAGTTCTGCAGGATGGAAATACATAATATCTGTCCTTTGACACACTATTTAGCCACTGCAACACCCCCAAGAGCAGTAGAGACAAGGAGGAAGGAAGATATGGCCATGTGAAAAGGCAGTACCTGACCCATTTAGCTTAGGGCAGTGGTTCTCAACCTGTGGGTCTTCAAGTGATTTTGGCCTACAAGAAATCCCAGCCAATTTAACAGCTGTTGGGATTTCTGTGAGTTGAAGGCCAAAACATCTGGGTACCCACAGGTTGAGAACCAGTGGCTTAGAAGTCCATGACTTAAAAAATGAGTTAACTGGTGAAGAGGTGGCCAAAAACTCCCTGTACAGTTGTAGGCATCATCTAGTTCAAAGCTAGGAGCGCAGTGTCCAGTTCAGGGGAAATAGCCTTGGCCTTTGTAAGCCGCATCGAGTCCTTCGGGAGATGCTAGCGGGGTACAAATAAAGATAATAATAATAATAATAATAATAATAATAATAATAATGCCACAATTTTTCTGCTTTAGTCAAAACTCACCAGGAATATTGCATCAGGTTCTGGGCTCCACAGGTCAAGGATACTGTCAACAAGCAAGACTATCAAGACCTCACAAAAGTTGTCAGTGCACATCTAGAATAATAGTGTTAGAAGAGACCACATTTGGGTGGGGATTCCAATCACCTGCCATGCAGGAAAAGCACAGTCAAAGTACCCCTGACAGATGACCATCCAACTTCTGTTTAAAAGCTTCCAAAGATAAAGCTTCCACTACACTCAGAGGCAGGGAGTTCTAAAATGACATATATATTAATCTTTGGGCAGAAAGTATTTATACGCCCAATGAAGTGGATTAAATAGCCCACGAGGGTTTGTGTTGCAATAAATTTGTTTGCATTTTGAAATTGACCAACTTGGCTGTCTTGTGAATAAAACTTAATACTGGTCCCTACTAACATTGGGCAGATGTCAATCAATCAAAGTGATCTTTCTAGGACAGCATTGTACAATATTAGAAGCAGAGAATAAAAACTCACTGTTCTTACCCTCAGATTCCTTTCGCAATGACAGCATCCCCCCCCCCACCGCCCCCCATTAGATCAAACAAGGCCATCTTCTCCATTTGAGAGAGAAAAAAGAGAGCATTTTGCAACAAACTTAGAAAAAGAAACTGCTGCTTTGTAGGGAATCCCAGGCTGACAATTCTGTCAACTTCTTTTGTTATGGCACTCATCTGCTGATTCTATCTGTACCCGTTTTCCCTTTCCTCCATTAGTAATAACATATCCCTATCCCAAAAAATGTTTTCTTGCTGTCTTGGTTTTTAGTTCTGTTCTTGGGGTTATTCGGGGCACTGATTCAGAAAATTGCATTGGATAGACAGCATCAGCTCTAGTTTGTTAGATATTGTTATCATGGTTTTCCCTGGGCAAGCAGATGGTGTCTGGTAGATAGCATATATACTGTATTTCAAAAACTAAAGCTGATGGGGGGAAACTGGTGCCATTTTTTTGAATCATTGGGTTAAATATACCCAGAAACAGGCTTAACATTTGAGGCATCAAAATATGTGTTGGCCAGTGTAATCACTCTTAGCTCCAGCTGCCTTAGTGTCCTCTGTACAAGTAAATACAAACATCAGTCCAGCGGTTTAAGGTAATAAGAAAAAGGAGAGCCATATTTATGTTATTATGCCCAGCATAAGGGTTTTCATTGTGGAGCAAGGGAAAGAGGAGGATTTAGGCAACTCCCATATTGCCTGCTCAGAAAATTTTGTGTCATTTCCTCAGGATCCTGTGCTTATTTTATGCCCAGTGTTTTCCCAAGGTATGGATTACATATAACAGTATGTAAAATGATGCATGTAGACTGATGTGTGAACAGCATTGTAAACATATGGAGGCAGGGCCTGGGACCTGCCAGCAGAAGCCACCCCCCTAATTTTTATATGTCTATTTCTCTGCAGAAACAAACTATTGAATTGGGTACTAGATGAGAGATTGGCATACTTGCCTTGTCTTGGCCACAGAGTCTTGAGCTGTGGTTTGGCTTCATTCTTGCTCAGCTGTTACATTCATATCATTTGACTGCTTTTTCCTGTCTGTTTTTTCTCCCGAAAAAGTCAGATTGACAGGTGGCTTCATTTAAGCTTTATTTTAAAAAGAAATAACTCTAATTTGGTCATTATGCTGTTATTAGCTGGTTGATTTACAATGTTGGTATGATCTCCAAGGTGTCCGGGGATGGCATAGTAAAGGCATGCTGTCAAGAAAAAGAACAACAGTTGAAAATGTGTGTGGACGAGTGTGAGTGAATAGAGCCTATTCACTTCTGTTTCTTAAAACATTTCTGGGGGTAATTGTCCAAAGGTCAGTGGGTGCATAGAAACCATTCTCAGGTTTTGGCCAGAACTGAAACTAGCTTTGATTTAAATAGGAATATGCATATGCATAATTGGAGGACCTTCTTACAGCAACACACTCCAAGTGGCCAGCTTTTGGCCAAAGGAAATTTAGCTTAATGCCAAGTTTTTAACTTTTTGTGGTTTTTCTGTGTATTATAACTTTATTCTTTATTTGCTTCTGACACAATAAATAAATAAAATGAGTTGGAAATTATTTTACTCTTGGCAAATTGGCTTATATGTATTTTATTTTATATGTATTTTAATTCTTCTGTGGATATATGTTGCTTTAGATTGTATTGTAATATTGAATCCTGTTGTTAGCCGGTCTGAGTCCCTCTATGGAGGTGAGAAGATCGAGATATAAAAGTTTTAAATAAATAAATATAATTAAAACTAAGTTAACATCTTCACCCCTTTCAAAACAAATCACAAACTGCAGGAATAGAACACTGGAGTTTTAAAACAGTAGTCTTCTTAAAAGCATCACTTCCTTCATTGCAATCTAAAAAATAATGTAGAAACATTTAGCATATTGTTCGTTCCATCTTGCCCTGTTAGCATTTTGGCTATGAAGACAGCCTTGGTCCTAACCACTGAGATAAACAATTTGTTAAGTTTTTTTTATATAAATTTACAATATAATGATTGTGGTGGTCATGCTGCTACTATCACTGCTAGATCTCTTATCAAGATGTAAAAACCAAACATACAAAACACACACAAACTATAGTTTAAAGCAGTGGTTCTTAACCTGTGGGTCCTCAGATTTTTTGGCCTTCAATTCCCAGAAATCCTAACAGCTGGTAAACTGGCTGGGATTTCTGGGAGTTGTAGGCCAAAACACCTGGGGAGCCACAGATTGAGAACCACTGGTTTAAAGTAATAGTTGTACACCAGCAATTTTCCTAGATAGCAACGGACAAATAAATATAATTCTATATAATTTGCGCAATCATCTGAATACATCAGGTATTGGAAGCTAGCAGCGTCAGCACCAAAAAAGTACCAGAGGAAGGAACAACAACACAATCACTGAGTTTAATTTGCCTATGAAAGCCGAGATAATTAATGGGGGTGCCATCAGTCAAAAAGGCAACTATGCCCACAACTAACATTTGGATCACATTTCTGGTTTGACTATATGTATTGTAAATATGGGGTGAGGACCATGTAACATTCTTAATATTTCTTTCCCACCCATCATGGGTCCTTCCACACATCCCTATATCCCAGAATATTTAGGTAGAAAATCCCACATTATCTGATTGTGGACTCAGATAACCCAGTTCAAAGCAGATATTGTGGGATTTTCAGCCTTGATCTTCTGGGATATAGGGCTGTGTGGAAGGGTCCCATGTTTATCATCAGTTAGTTTTCAATTCACAAAGGCAGGAAGTTCATTCTATGATAGCTGCCAGTTCTATGCAGTGAAATATAATATTTGCCACTAAATATATAAATGATCTAGCATTTCTCCTTTAGTAGAGTCCAAGAGGTTAAAACAAAACTTTGTGAAATGTGGACTAATGGGATGAGGTAAGGTGGAAGCCCAGCCAAGTAGCGTTGGGTGAGAAAACAACAAAGGTTCTAGGGCTGTTACAAAGAAGAAGATGTGGCTGAGATCCTATGTTACAAAGTGTAGCATAAAAGTTCTGCAGGATGGAAATACATAATATTTCCACTAAAATGCTGCTCCCTGTGATAGATTTATCAGCGACTTCACTTTAAACTCCTTGGTGCAGAGTCCTTTTAACATGCATCTCAGTGGAAGATCACTTACTTTCTGCCTGCCTGCCTGCCTGCCTGCCTGCCTTTCTTCCTTCCTTCCTTCCTTCCTTCCTTCCTTCCTTCCTTCCTTCCTTCCTTCCTTCCTTTTTTTTTGGGTGGGGGTGGGAAGAGGATCCATAAAATATTAGCATCACCGGTCACTTTTTAAAAAATGTCTCAATACCAAGATTGTCCTTTATTTTATGAGTAATGCATTACCAACATAAACCTTATTTATGTAAAAAATAACAATATGCTCAATACCGCGGAACTTTTTAAAAGCAGCATATAAAAGTAATGAGTAATGCTTTTAAAGTCACTGCTTCTTAAACTCAAATGGGGGTCACTTTACTTCAGTGTTGAGTCATCAAAAGTTTGGCAACAATAAACCTGGTGGCTGTTTTAGACATTTGCATGAGCCTGTTAGCAACAACATGCAGTAAACTCTGCAGAATATGCTTCAGCTGGACTTCATAAAAAAGAAAACCAGCTTGCTTATCAAGCCTTGCAAATGTTGGTTTATTATCGGTAAATATTTGATTTTTATACCTATTTTATATATCTATATATCCAGAGTCATGTAAAGATTTCTTGGGTGGAAAGGGATCATGAGTGGAAAAAATTTAAGTAGCCCTGTTAATAGGTAACATTGTTACATGTAACACACTGTTTCCAAATTTGAGATACCTCTAGAGCTCTGCTTCTTAACTTGTGGGCTTCGACTCCAAGTGGTGTCCTTTTAGTCCTGAAAAATTTGGAAACAGTAAAAGTTTTCTGAGCATCCATTAGTAGCTGTTTACAGTGCATTCTGCAGAAAATGCTTCAGCTGTACTTCATTAAAAAATCAGCTTGTTTAGCAAATTTTGCAAATGTTGATTTATTAACAATGAATGTTTGATTTTTATATTTATTTTATATTCCTATATAGTATAGTCATGTAAAGATTTCTTAGGCTGAAAGTGGTTGAAGTGGAAAAGTTTAAGAAGCCCTGCTTTAAAGGTCTTGGTAGATGATGTTAATGTTCAGTGAACTGCTGACCGAAAGGTCAGCGGTTTGAATCCAGGGAACAGGGTGAGCTCTCATTTGTCAGCTCCAGCTTCTCATGTGGAGACATGAGAAAAGCCTCCCACATGATGGTAAAACATTCAGGTGTTCCCTGGTAACTTCCTTATAGACAGCCAATTCCCTCACACCATAAGCAACTTGCAGTTTCTCAAGTTGCTCCTGACATGAAAAAATGTGAACTGTTAACTTCATTTTGTTCCTGTTTTTGGAAATAAGTACTTTTGAAATTGTCCTGGTATGAAATTGATTCTTTTTCCTTTTCTTTTCTTAAAAAAAATCACACAGCGCTGGGATCAGAAACTCCGTCATCCTGGTAAAGGCAGAAATGAACCTGGACAAAGTGATTCAGCTCCGAAATCTGGCCGAACCACCAATCCACGACAAAGACGCAATTAGACGAATGATAGCATATGTCGGGAAAAGGAAAGAAACCAAGCAAATTAATCCACAGACTTGTGTAAATTAAAGACTTGCCTTGATGGAGCAGCAAAGAAGAAATTGCACTATTGCGCGTTGCATTCTATTGTTTACTATGAGATCCTGTTGTAGCCAATATTAGTTTTATTTTCCCTTGTGTTTTTCTGGCCCCTTGATATCTGCAGGAGGAGAAGCACTCAGAAAAAACAATATGTTATGCCCACAAATGTTTGTAGATTCACATCTATCTATCTGTCGGTTGGTGGGTTTGTTTATCAACATAGAATATGGGGTCAGCTGATGCCATGGTAATGGTTTATTGAGAGTTACTCCAGTCCAAAAATTTATGCACTCTCTGAGAAAACAGATCTCTGGCCCGTTCAAAATCCCCCATTAAGAGTGACATTACACATATCCCTGCATTCCTGTCTATGCAAAAATAATTGATGTGCGAGGTGGAAGATTTGCAAAGGTAGTAGCTATATAGGGCCAGGTCAACTTATTGCTTCCCTAAATTACAATCAATCCAAGAATGACATTAAGCCATTTTTACACTTCCCACCCGAGTATAATGCTTGGAAAGTCATTACTGTTGACAATATTTCAACCGGGCCTCCATTTATACGTTCCAAAGTCGATCTTCCTCAAGTAGCTGGCATACAATCTGGGAATCAGATGCATGATTCAGATTTTTTTTTGTGTGTGTCAGGAGTGACTTGAGAAACTGCAAGTCACTTCTGGTGTGAGAGAATTGGCCGTCTGCAAGGACATTGCCCAGGGGATGCCTGGATGTTTTTAATGTTTTAYCATCCTTGTGGGAGGCTTCTCTCATGTCCCCTAGTGAGGAACTGGAGCTGATAGAGGGAGCTCATCTGCACTCTCTCTGGATTTGAACCKGCGACCTGTCGGTCTTCAGTACTGCCGGCACAGRGGTTTAACCCACTGYGCCACCGGGGGCACAAACAAACAAACAAACAAACAATCCCCACAATATAATCTRTGGGCCCTTCCACACAATCATATAACCCAGAATATCAAGACAGAAAATCCAACAAGATCTGCTTTGAACTGGGTTATCTGAGTCCACTTAAAGCCCCCGGTGGTGCAGTGGGTTAAACCCCTGTGCCGGCAGGACTGAAGACCGACAGGTCGCAGGTTCGAATCTGGGGAGAGGCGGATGAGCTTCCTCTATCAGCTCCAGCTCCTCATGCGGGGACATGAGAGAAGCCTCCCACAATGATGATAAAAACATCAAAATCATCCAGGTGTCCCCTGGGCAACATCCTTGCAGACAGCCAATTCTCTCACACCAGAAGTGACTTGCAGTTTCTCAAGTCGCTCCTGACACGACAAAAGAAAATCTGAGTCCACACTGCCATATATTCCAGTTCAAAGCAGACAATGTGGGATTTTATTCAGCTGTGTGGAAGGGACCTACATTTGGGGTTTTGAAAAAAATAATCTGAACTACTCCTTTGTTGCTGAAAAGCCTAGGCTCAAATGTGCTTTCAGAAATTTTTCCCCTATCTGAAAAACACAATGCCTAATATATGTACAAATTAATAAATACAGTGTAGGGGATTTAACAGTGGTGGGAAATAAACATTTTGCAAGCCACCATGGCTATTTCAAAAATGAAGGGAAAGAGGCTGGAAACAGCATCCTGGTGTGTAGCCGTTTCTGCGTTTTGTCATGAAAATGTGCAGGATGGAGATTTTGTTGCCCTCAAAGTGCCCTCTCCCCTCTTTCCCTCCCCCCTGACCGCCCTGCACCTCCCATTAAAACCCTTGTTGGCAGTATGGAAAAAGGATTATACAAAGAGATTACACCAAGAGCTCCGTGCCTATCGGAGTGGGCCTGTTAAATGTCGATTCCTCCTCAATAAACCACTTGTATTAAATTCTAGCTTTAAAACATTAACCATGGCAAATACCGCACAGAGGCTTTGCTTCTGAATGCCTTAATCCTTGTGGGAAAGGTCGTATCGAATTGTCAAGTCTCGCCAGAAGTTATGTTGTACTTGCTCTCTGATAACATGTTCCCTTCCCTGCTTCTTTTGTTGTGATTGTGGAGGAGGAGGAGGAGGAGGAGGAGGAGGAGGAGACGGTCTTCGCCCCGGCCTCCTTCTTGGCATGGGCCTGCACTTTGTCATTTCGTTGGTGTCACTCGGATTGTGTTTCAGTGCCTCCGTTCAACAGCAGGGCTTGATGGTCAGTACTGGGGGACATGTAATGAAAGAATTGCCCGCCGCTCAAAACGTTACAGCCATACTCTATGCAACGTGCCTCACAAAAAAGGAGAACTGCAACAGTAAACAGAGACTTTGTCCTGAATAATTGTACATTTTTATAGTCAATGATATGTATTTCTATTCAGAATATGCCAGCAGGTCATCTCAGTACTCGCGGAACAGTACCAATAGTTGGAAACTGTAATTCTGCCTTCTTCCTTTTTATAAAAAAGTACAGAAATATCAGTAGAATACTGAATGAAAAATAAAGCAACTATTTTAGCAGAAAATAAATCATTTATATTATGAAGTGCTTCAGAATTCTCACTAATGAATATGATGCCTTCCATGCATTTGTCACAGATTTCAGATCATTGTTGCTATTAGCTGCTAGCAGTTTTGACTTATGTTGAACCTATGAATAAGAGACCAACAAGTCAGAGCTGCATCTATCCATCTGGACTGTCGCTGTCTTCTTCCTTCCTTACTGCCTTCTGTGGTGTAATGAAAAATCACGTGTAATTCACATTTTACCAGTCCACACACTGTCTTGCCAGAGAAAGAAAGATTTGCCATACAGATGATCAGTAAAGAACAAGTAGATTACTCTTTCGAATACAGAGCAACATATATACAATCATGTGAAAAGGTGCATTGACTCACACAATGTACTTTGAAAAATATTCAAAATGGTATTTCAGTGTCCATGTGGAAGATCTCCTTCCAGCAGCTCATGAAGTAAGAACTGTCTCTCTCTGCAAGCACCTATGCAGTTCAAGCTTAAAAATGTAACTATTGCCAAAATTCCCAGGCTCATCTAGTTCCCTGGGCATGGCCCAGCCAATCAGCTTTGTGCCTTGCGTTTTCAGTTAACATACCAACTGATTTTTTACATGCTCCAACACCTTCTACCTTTCCAAACATAATTGTCTTTTCTATCAAATTATGTCTTCCTGTGGTATGTTTGAAGTCAAACAGTCTCAGTGTAGCCATCTTGGTTTCTATGGAGAATCATAGAATCCTAGATTTGGAAGAGACCTCGCGGGACATCCAGTCCAACCTCCTGCCAAGAAGCAGGGAATTTGCATTCAAATAACACCTGACAGATGGCCATCCAGCCTCTATTTAAAAGCCTCCCAAAAAAGGAGCCTGAACTGAACTCCAAGGCAGAGAGTTCCACTGCTGAACAACAGCTCTCACTGTTAGGAAGTTCTTCCTAATGTTCAAGTGGCTAGATTTGCTTTAATAACCATTTAAGTAGTTCACAATATGCATAGAACTTTTTTCTAACACCACACTTCCAATTATTTCCTTCCTATCCATTTTATTCTCTGTCCAGCTTGTACAGCCACCTACACGGAAATTGGAAATAGAGTGGCATGGCAAGCCTAACTAGTATTCAGTTATATATCTTTGCACTTCATGCACACATAGCTGCTCTTCAAAGCCCTATCCTTCCTCTGATTTCTTGACTTCAGTCTCTATTCTGAGCAATGGCCAAGCCAAGATACGGAAAACCTTATATTTCCATGTCTCCATTCTGTACTTTATAATTATGTTTGAAACAGTGACACAATTTGAGCATCAAAAAAGTCTTCCTTAAAATGTGTGCTGTTTCTCTGACCAACACACCTCAGGCAAAAGCAGTTTGCTTTTGCCTGAAGGATTAACCATTGAGATAAAAAAATATAACAGAATACATGCAACTAACTAAAACAACATTACAACATGATCCTAAGGGAAGGCAAAATGTAGCTGTTAGTCCCCATTAGAACAGACTTGTTCAACTAGAAGTCGGGCCCCATCTACATTGATCGTTTAATGAAATTTCAAACCAGTATTGAAGAAAGTCGTTTCACTGGAACCAGCTTGAAGCTAGCTTTAAACTACAATAAATGGTCATTGTAGATGGGGTTTCAATCACATGAAGGTTCTTAAGCTGGGGGTAAGTGGGGGAATCTGCTGGGCAGTGGAGCAAATCTGTAAGGTAACGGGAAACCAGTGTTAAGCATCCCACATTGCCTGCATCACCACCTTTCCCATCACACAAGGGAAAGTTTTGGAAAATGACATTCATAACCTTTTGGGAAAACCAGGAATCTTTTGGTAAACCATGACCTTGTTAGAAATTATAACTTTTTCTAAGTATGATCTTCTTCAGAAGAGTTAAAACTCACTTGAGTCAACCTTCTTCTTAGTGGTAAATATCCACCAGTATTTATGCAAGGCATTTAGTTTTCTCAGCTGTTAGACTGATTCACCTAGATAACTCTTTCAATGGTTAGAAACAAAGATATGCCAATGCACAAAAAAACAGCAGAGTTTTAGAAATGTTCTTTTTCAGTTGTCCTAAAACACCTACTCTCCCTGAAAACATCTTGGTTCAAATCATGCTCTCAAGAGACCAAAAATAAAATAGTATTCATTAAAAGTTACGTAGTTTACTCACAGACTTCATGTATTCAGCGTACAGGTATATTGCTTATCAGTCCAGTTACGGATAGGATTTAAAAAGTTTCTCTGTGCAGATAACACAAGGCATCTTTCTTATAATCAACAGTCAAATGCATCTCTCTGTTCTGAGAGTATCATAGAGTCTCTGTCTTTCTAAAGCATTCCGTTTCTATTGACTTCTAAAAGCACACCGTTTCTAAAATAGTGTCTGAGTCTGAATAGTCCTAGATCTGGTCACATGGTCTGCAGCCCCTCCCACAACATAGAGGTAAGGAAAACTGCATACTAATACAGTAATTGATCTGAATTATATACAGAACAAATAACTAGTATAGGAGACTTGTAGAAGGTTGCTATTTCCAACAGAGAGTGTCACTGCTTGGCTTTCCTCTCACTGTCCCGAGGTTACCTAATGAGAACACGGGTAGCCACCCATGTTCTTAGGGCTCTGTCCTATGATGCTGCCAGGACAGAGCCCCGCAGGAAGTAGCCCTGTGTCATGTGTCATATTTCAACCAAGTTCCTATTGATTAAGTGAGTATGTTTGACTTGGGACTGAATGTTGGAATTTGACCTGTGGTCGCACATTTGCCCTGAGGATTATATCATATCTGCATTTTATCGTATGTGTGCTATTGTTCCATTTGCTACTCTCAGTTCAGGGTTTCTTTCAGACATGTGTATTCTATACCATAGACAGGTATAATAGTACATTTCTCATACAAGGACCCCCCCCCCCCCCCGTTCCCTTGATACTGCTTAAAACTAGTGTGGCTTTAAAAATAATAATAAAGAAAACATTGTTACGAGATCACAAACAAAGACAGATGGGTTGAATCAGCTGACAAGAATGCATGTGACAGCCAACTTGGACCTTGCCTATATAAATTGTGGGGGGAAGTTCTGTTATTTTGTCCATCCAGCAAACACACAGGGACACATGTGATTGGGTGCAGTGGGATGTACAGGAAGGCTGATTGAAACCATACCTTTCCTACATCTGGTTATGATTATTTCAGGGAGCAAATGTACAATTCCAGTCCCAATGGATAATTAGCAGGATGTTGCTT